ATGAAAAACACAGTGTTGTGTTTACAATTACCTGAGCATTCAAAAGGAGCTTTAAAAAAGAACACGACTGTGTTATAGACCGGTGAGCATGAGCTTATCTGTCACCTACAACACAGAACTTCTACATCCTGAAATCACTAACATGAATTATTACATCTTTATACAAAGTATTTTCAACCACTATTGTATCCAAACAATTTGCTCTGTAAACATTTTGATGAAAAAGGTACACAATCTGCGGTGATAACGAAACCAAAGCCTGATCATGTGCAGTATTGCCCTATATATACTCCTGAAGTACGAGTGGTGGGTGATACTGGTCCAAGTTACAGGCAAGCAACTGCAAGATCAGCCTACAGTCATTTTAGCCTTTGTCACCTGGGGTGTCGTATGAGATCAGAGAGCAACAGCTATGACTCCAGCTACACAGACCATCAATGTTTCACTCTGTCATAAGGATGCATGTGTTATTTATAAATCCTGCACCAAGCAGCGGGATGAGCACTCCATGCTCATCTCAAAATTATACCTCTCCATCATCTTAGTGTCTGTGAAGTGATTATTACTTGTAAGTGTGTCAGCATCGTGTCAGTACGAGTCACACGGTGCAAGACCCCGATCTAAATTAGAAGCAGAACCATTGTCATCAGAATTCTACAGTTATTACTTATGTGTTTGATATGTTTCCTTTGGCTGTTTTAAAAAGTCAGAACCTTGTCACATCTCTTGCGTTCCTAATATTGTGACCAGAAGTAGAGAGGCATATGGGATTAGTGTATAACCCATGTTAGGATGAATAACTGCAGATGTTTAGTGTGAATGAGCTGATACAGTGGACAAACAACCCTCACAGCTGCAGCCTTCTGCCAGAGTCAAGAGCCCCTCAACGCCAGGACAGAGGCGAGCAGAGCTAGACATGGACGAGACGCTAAACGGTTTGTTTTTACTAATTCCACTCCAGTTTCTTTGCTCCATCACATTTCGCCCTGGCCAGAAAAGTATGAAAAAGTGGAACAAATAAATCTCACTGTGACTGTAACATGGAAAAGATGAGTGTAAATGCTGTGATTTTTGTGTGCAGTTTAATCAAATGTTAGAGTAGAGGTGCAGTGTGCTTCCCTAATCCACTAGAGTGAAATCATTTTGATCATGGATAAATAAACTGATAACAGAAAATTGGATATAATCCTATCATTTTCGGTTTGGGCAGTTACTTCTGTCTTAGGGCTGATGCCGCTCTTTGGAAATGGTTCAGTTATGTGTGATAGGTGTGACTGTAAACATACGGTACGTATAAGTAATCAATACCCTATTTTGAAACACAAAAATTGTGAATGAAATTACACGAATGGTACCTCAGCCTGGTTTGTAACTTTCTAAAGTATTTGTACACATAATGCATCTGTATTTTAATTCAGTTGAAGTGGGATCCTTGCTGAAAACCTTGCTGCTCTGGTCTGGATGAGGTTACTAAACATAATGACTGTAGACAAGGCCTGTACCTAGACTTAGTCAGCATAAAGGAGCTGTGCTCTGGCACTGTCTGAACTGCACAGATGGCATGCTAAGACAAATCTTTATATCCTTTACCGTTTTAACACCCTCTCGGAGTCCCAGCACCGGAGCACTACTATTCTCAGATCAGTAGCAATGGCTAATTGTCTCCATGATCTTATTCAGTGTCAAAACCAAAAGCTTTCTCTCAGATCAGAGATACTGGCAAAGACAATCATGAACTTCTGAGAAATGTTATGTTTTTGTTGTTAGAAATTTGTGTCAAGAATCACAGTTCATGTAAAGAAAGAAAAAGAACTAGACTTTTCTGATTTTCACTTCATTTTTCCTGCTTTTTTGACATGCCACCAAGTCACTTAAAACTCCTGGATGGTTGTTTCTGATGAGGATGCTCTGTTTATGAATGGTAGTGTCAATCAGGGAATGAAGACACTGGGCTAAATGTATATTTGGATCAGCTGTTGGTACTCAAGACCTGGTGAAAGGTGAGTGCTGTTGAGCAAAAAGTGGTAAACGCAGGGTGGGTATGTCATAAGATGAGGGGTTTGGAGAAGATGGATGGATGGATGGATGGAGTCTGGCTCACCTTTGGTGTAGTCTCCAGCTCATCCACCTGGTTTTTGCTCAGCATGCTCTTGATGAAAAATTCCATTTTGGCGTTGAACTTCATGAATGTCACATAGCAGGTGTAGCACGTCAGCAGGCTGAGACTTTCCACCACTGTGATTTGATTATCCAGAAAGAAATAAATGAGCATGAGCAAACCAAAGATATAGAACGTGACGTCTCTGAAAAGAGGCCACCAGGTGAGGTGCAGCACCTCTCTGGAGAACAGGGCGCACATCCCGATCACAAACAGGATGTTGAAGACGGCAGAGCCCACAATGGTACCGATACCCACATTACTATGGGAGATGAAGACTCCTATGACGGAGGTGAAGAGCTCTGGGGCTGAGCCACCTGCTGCCATGAAGGTGGCTCCAGCTACATCATCAGAGATCTCCAGTTTTTCTGTGATGACAGTGAGCGCAGGGACAAAGAACTCATCGCAGACGATGGCTAAGGCTATGAACATGTACAGCATGCCAAACATATGAAGCAGCACATAGCCCTGACGTCTCTCCTCCACGCTGAAGTAGTCCGTTGGGTAGTCCCCATGATTCATCTCTATTTCAGATGATGCCATGGCCAAAGGTGTGTCCTCTGCTGCGACTGAGAGGTTGTGGTTCTGCAGAAGAGTTCTTTGGGGCACTGCTGCTTCTGCTGAGCCTTCACTTATGGATTCCAGCTCAGTGGCCACCATCGTGGCCAGTGACAAGGCACTCCATGAACAGACTGTACAAACTATTACCAGGCTTATGATGAACCCCAGTATTCGTCCGGGCCGCAGCTTTCTCTTGACTCTCTGGTAGTGGTGCCTGGTGCAGCTGCTATGAGGGCCCAGAAGAGGAGCAGAGCTGGACGAAGCCATCATGTCTTGACTTCTTATGGGTATTATGAGTTCCATGGTGTTTGGTGCCGGATGTCAGGCAGAGTGGAGGCGTCTGGAATCCCCCCAGGCCGTGATGGTTCACCGATTCGTTAGCATGTTGCTCCCCAGTCTAATCACAGTGGAAGCCCTGCAGTCTGATTCCAGGATCTAGTCCATTCAAAGGCTTCCTCATATTACTCACTGCAAGACAGAGAAAATGTTTATATCAGTGCTAAAACCATAGAGCAGGTATAGAAAATGACAACAAATTCTGCCAGTGTCTAAAATTGGAATTGAATACATAAACATACTATTAATGAGTATGATGTCTTCTTTGTGTTTTGTTCCACCCCTGATAAACGTTCACTCACATGCCTTGTGGGCTGTGGCAGAAAGTAGCTGTAAGTACATTTATGCAAGTATTGTATCTGAATACAGTTCTGCTTTCTACATTATACTTAAACATTATACTTTACATACCCAAACATTTATTGTCAGATGTTGTTACTGCACTGGTTACATTAGTGAAATTATATGGTGAAAAAGTTAATGAAACTGTTATAGAGTAACAACACATCATTATATAACTAGTTACAGTTTACTCCCCCATGACCAGACACAGAACAACATTACAATAAGATGATGTCTATGATATTAGAACATTCTGTAAAGGGACATTCTGCACAGGGGTTGCTTTTCCTTTTTATAGATAAAGTACAACATTTTGGGGCGTCTTGATAGCCGAATGGCATGGTGTGGTGCACCGTGTACTCGGGCATAGCATGTGTGTGTGATGTTGGCAGTTTGAGTCCTCGCACTGACCTTAAAATATATACATGTAATGTTTTTTTAAAGCACAAAAATCCTATTTTCTAGCAACTGGAATTATTGTGAGTCCTAAATTGTTAATAGTGCTTGAAAGTAAATGTTAAAGTGTGGGCTTCTTATCACTGTGCTGTTAACCTAAAGTCAGAGCTCTCTTTTAAATGAAGCTCGGACATTAGTGAAAGCTCATTAGGAAGCCATTTAATCCGTGAGAAGATGTACTGTACTCAGATTAGCCTCGGGGCCTGCACACTTCAAGTCAAAAAGTAGACGCCAACACAATGAACTGAAGTTAAATGAAAATTCATTTTCACATCAGAGTTATTCAGCTACATTAGGCAAACTGCAGTGCTGATCTCACCAATCCTAAACACTGAACTGCTGTAATCTGCTATCAAACACCAATGTTAGCTATCAATCATTTAAGAATTTCAAATCTAATTGTGCTATAACAGCATTATTCAGAAAACACTCTGGTCTCTCTATGGACATTATGACAAAGGCAATTTACAGTTACACATAAAACATAAAGAAGCATCTTTTTTGTTCCTGAGTGAATATTCCGCTAAATTGAATTCAAATGGAGAAAGGTCCCGAGGACTCAGTTATTAGTTATTACAAAACCTCACTGAGATTTTCCTCCTTCTGCAGAAGTGGAACTCTCGGTCAAAAGCCAAAGACTGAGAGCTCCTTCATCCCTCTGTATGCTCCATCCCCCTTTGACAGTGCCTTCCTCTTTGTCTCCTCCTTCCTTGTCCTCTCTCTCTCTCTCCATATGTCTCTGTCCAAGAATGAGGATCAGTGTTGTCTATAGCTGTCCATCTTTCATCCTTCCCTCCTCTCTCCAGCGCCTACTGGCTCCCCTGTATCATGTAACACTTCTTCCCATCCCTACACCCAAGCAAACGGGTCTTACCCAACCTGATGGCAGTGAGGCCTATTGGGCCATCAGATCATAGAGCCGTCACTGAAAACTATCACAATTAATCTGTGACGTAACAAACCACAGCAATGTTCACAAGAGATGTTATGTGATATTTGTATTAGGGTGTCAGAGATATTTTAAATCAAACTTTAGTCTTGCACGTCTTCATTCTGGCATCTGTTAATTTAGACTGATACTTTTGCACAAATTTTCTGTCATTTCCTTTTAAAAAAATATAAAATTATAAGTGTGTATGTTTGGCCAGTAAGGTTTACTTTAGTATATTTTGTCACTATTTCCCAATTCTTGTTTGCATGATTTTGCCATATAACTGCTTGAAGTGACATCACCATGTCTTCTGTCTTTCATTTCCCACATTTGTAATTGGATTTGGGAGCAGCACTTGCTCCTAAGAGAGAGAATATTGGACAAACTGTAGTTCAAACCCACTGTTGTGAGTACATTTTGGCTGGCCCTCACAACTTCAAAGGGCTCTTCAAGGGTTAAGACTTAGTTTTAGGGTTAAAAATACATTATTTCAGTGAGTTTCCTCACAATTATAGAAAGAATGTGTGTGTTTGAGAGTGAGGGAGAGAAGAACGGACAAGAGTAGTTATAAATGTCAAAACAAGTAAAATAAAAGATCCAAAACAGAAATTTTTGAACAACAGTTTTTGATTTGATTTAAAAAAAAAAAACAAAAACTCAATATAAACAATGCAAAGATTGACATTTTTTGCAGTCCGTGAGTGATGATGAAAAGTTCCTTGCTAAACCACGTATTCCCCTTTGAGATTAAATACAACCAGACCTGCCTGTTGTTCTCACCTCCTACTGTTTTTATCCAATTAAACAGGAATATACTTAATGAAGTGGCCTGCAAACTTTGCCTTGAAAGGAATATGCTGCTCTTTGTGGCTTAGAGTCTGTTTTCTTACAATTTTTGGTGAAATTTTACCATGCCAAAATTACTTTGATAAAAGTTGTGCCCTCTCTGTATTTAGTACAGTCTATATTTACAGTGTAGAAGAACAAACCAATGCCATGGACCAAAGAAGCAGCATAAAGGTGTTTGACCTCAGTAAGGATGCTATATTTGGGTTGTAGCTGCTTATTTAAGGGCTATGTAAAGTCTTGAAAAGGCTAAACGTGTTACACAACCAGCCCAGCTAATCTAAACCTCCTTCTAGGTAGACTGAGGTACACTGCCTGCATAACTTGAAATACAAAGTCTCTTGCCATGTAGAACAAACCTCACCAGCCCTTTGACAGATTTCACAGGTTAGTTTGTTTGCAGTTTGCTTTGAGATACTGTTTCTAGAGGTACTGTACAAAGATATAAAGACAAATTCCAATAAAAAACATAAATCTTTTCCAAGAGTAGAGTGGAGTTTATCCTAAATTAATGACATGAAAGAGGGAAGTCTGCAGGGAACTCGGATCCTCTCTTTGTTTGGCTGGAATTTGACTTAATGCTGTGTTGTGTCTAAATGTGATCAGTGTTCCATTTGTAAGACAGAATAACTATGACCCATGTTGCATTGATACCTGCAATGATGTTCCTCCATCTGCAGATGGTGTTTATAAAAAAAATCCGCTGGAGACTCAATCGACTGTGCCTGCCTGTGATGTCAAGCATTTATACCTTTAGTTTAAATCTTTTGATCCTAAACCACAGGAGCTGATATCTCATAACAAGACAGGTGATCTGTTTAGACACTATTCACTATACATAAAGACTCTTCCATGGCAACAGCAGCACTTCTATACAGGCTCACCACCAGCCAAACACCAAAGTAATGTTGCAGAGACAAGGAAAACATTAAAGGGAAAATTTGGGCAACATTTTATTT